CAAACTTTAAGACTTAAAAGAACACACTTTCACTGCTAGTGTCTGTGGGAGCAGGCATGTTATGGCCAGGTCCCCTGAGGCTGCTGTCAGGACGGTGACTGGGGCTGGGACCACACGTGAGCTTCACATCAGGAGGCACCTGCCTCCTGTGGTGTCAGCCTCCCCCTGGCTGTTGGACCCAGCCTGGTAGAGCTCTTCTGCTCAGGGCAGGTGGTAGGACCCTGTCTGCTCTACTCGCTTACACTGGGCACTGAGGAGACACAGAGTTGCCAACCTCTGAGAACATTCTGATTGTGGGCACAGTGTCTGGAGAACAAGTCAGGAGCTGAGCCCAGCAGGCACCATGGGGACACTGGGAACTGTCCTTGGTCACCTGGCCCACTTCCTCCCTCTCTACCCAAACCTTCCTGGGTTTCTGGCTGGGAGAAGGCATGTAGATTAGGTCTTAATACTTGGATCCTGTTCCAGGCATGCTGGGCATGCTGGCTCTGCAGGCCCCACTCAAACCCCAGTTGTCACCCTCTGATAGGTGGCCCTATGAAGGTCTCTACTATCCTGCCTCTCTCCTTCTCAGGAAATGCTCTCAGAGGGTTGCTAGGACCTCTCCTGCCAGTTAACACATCTCTCCTCCCCCCCATTAATGCTGTGTTACATCCATAAATACTGCAAGAAGTCTAGCAGCTTCTATGGGGCTCCCCTGAGTTCAGCCTGGGCTGGCCTCTCAAATCCACTTGGCAGAAGTGGACGACACAGCGTGAGCATGTGAATGCCTGCTCGGAGCACACTGGCCCAGGAGGACCATCATCTCTCCTCCACAGCCCTGCTTCTCAGAAGAACGTGGCCTCCTGGCTGTCCAGTGGGCTCCTTCTGCATCATTTGACTTGTTTTCTGGAAAGGAAAAGAGCTGCTGTGTAAATAAGCAGTGAGTCACTAGCTGTGATGCCAGTGAAGAGGGTAATTTGGCTGCTTTTAGTCTTGATGGTGACAGGGGCGCCTACCCCAAAGCTCTGTGTCTGCTGCCCTCATTGTTCCACCCGCCTGATGCCTGATGGCTGGAATTAGCATACATCTGTGCCTGGCTTGGGCTGTGCCTTTTTCTCCTTTGTTTGAGACCAGAACCTGTGGGTAAGCTGTGTGGAGGACACAAGTGAACTCACCAGGTTCCCCGACTTCTGGGGACCCTAGAAATGACCAATGCCGAGATAGTGGCCAGGCAGCTCCTGAGAGTGTGCACCATGCATTTTCACAGAAACAGCTCTGAGTGTCTTGGGAAAGCCATTGTGAGTACTTGCTATAAGACAAGCAGAGAAGGTACTGCAAATTTGGGGCAATGCTTAGCCTTGCATGCCATGGACAGGCCTGGCCCCACAGCACCTCAGAATCATGGACCCCTGTGTTGCCGTCTGGGCCTTAACCCCAGACTGGCTCACAACCCTGTACCCCCTGCTGCAGATGGCTGAATTCACCTTCTGTCTGTTTGCAGTGCACCTCCTCAGCTCACCGTCCTGCTCCACTCTGGCTGACTGAGCTTCTTCTCTCTTAGAGTCAGCCTCACACTGAATCTTCCCAGTACTTCCACACCATGCTCCATGTCCATTCACCCCATCAGTAGTGCTTGCTGAGTGCGGGCCCTGCACCAGGAGGCTCCTGAGGATCACGTCCCCCATGTACACAGAGCCCAGGAGCCCAGGGTTCTGCCCAGAGCAGTGACACCTAGGCTGTGCAGATCTGTCAAAGTCTACTGCACAGCATTCCTGGGATGACTGTGGGCCAGGACCAAGAGTACAAATGGAGCAATACATGTAGGGTGGCACTTGGAGAAAAGGGCTTGAGGATATCTGCCAACGTTGACTGTAAGACATATGTGCCCAAACACATGCACATGTATACAGACATAGGTGTGCACACATGCATGAAAGGTATAAGTGTAAACATTTACTGTGGTTGTCAAAATTGACTGGGTCAGGAGACACCTAACAGACTAATGAAGCACACTTCTGTGTGGGTCTGGCAGGTCACAGAGATCTGACCTTGTGTGCTTTCTCTGATCCCTAGCCCCTCTCTCCAGTGCTCTTTCCAACCCACTCTGCTTCCCAGCTGCTATGAGGTAAGCAACATCCTCCACTACACCCTTCCACTATTCTGTTTCTGCTTTGGAGCCAGCCATCTGTGGACTGAACCTTCTGAAACCTCAGGCCACATAAATATCTCCTCCTTTAAGCTATGGGTGTTGGGCATTTGGTCCCAGCAATGAGGAAGCTGACCATTACAGTTAGCCTTCTGGAAGGTAACTAAAAAGGGAAAGGAACTCACTTTTAGTCTTAAATATTGGAGACGTGCAACTTCTCATAATGCCCAAGGGGCTCCCATCAGACTGACCCTCCCATAGACGTCAACTATAAATTATATAAGCAAATTTAACTACCTGAAAGCATTGGAAGATACAAAAAAGCAGAGAGAACTGAGTTTGACTGACACTTGCAAGAAGACCAAGGCCAAGAGTGAGCTTCCACTTACAGCTCTGCACTTGAAGGCAAGACCCGGTCTATGCCCAGTCAGTGATGACTAATGAAGACCCACAGTCTCACTAGCTGGAGCCAACAGACAGAGTCTGAGGCAGGTAGAAAATCTAGACAGTGGAGAGAGAAGTTCCAGAAAGAGGAGAGGCAGGGGAGAAGCCTAAATTCTGCCCCCTAACTGTACATAAGTGAAGCAGAATCTAATAGCCCTGCTCCGGACACAAGGACTGGTCCAAGATTTCATTAACTGTCTACTGCAGGGAGACGGAGTGTGAAAATTTTAGTAAAATTAACTAACCTCAAAAAAAAACAGTACTTTTCAGAAGAATACAATAGAGTCCAAAGTTTCTGTAACATATTCACAATGTCCAAAATATAATCAAGAATTCATAAATATAGGGACAAACAGGCCAGCTGCCATGCTCAGGCAAAAGGGCAGTCATGGAAGCAGATCCTGAGATGACCCCAACATTGGAATCAGCAGATAATTTCAGAGCTGCTCAAAAGTGAAAAGAACACACTCATAATAAAGGGAAGAAAACTTCCACAAATAAAAAGAGCCAAGTGGAAATTCTAAAACTAAAAACTATAATATCTGAAGCTTAAAATCCTCCAGATGAGTTTAACAGCAAATTGAGATAAGACTTGGTTAAGAGGGTCAGGAAGATAGCTCAGCGGCATAAGCACCTGCCTTGCAAGTGCAAGGTCCAGAGTTCAATCCCCGGTATGACAAAAGAAAAGACAAGACTTGGTTAAGAAAAACCACTCACAGTCCCATCTGGCTGACCTGGCTGAGGGTCTCAACACCATCTGATTCCCTGCAGAAGCCCATAGACAGTTCCACTGCAGTGCTATAGCTGAGAGGTAGTGTTTAGATTTTGATAGAAAGCATCATAGATGGATTATTTCAGTAAAGCGTAACAGAACATGCAATGTGTTGACTCAACCTTGAAAGGAATCCTGTAGGTTTGGGTTTTTTTTTTCTTTTTTAAAAAAAATACAAAATAGCAATATAAAATAAAAAATTACAAATGATACAGAATTTCACTAAACAAAATAATATGAATTTGACAGTATTTATTGTATTGCATAGTGTTGTCTTCAAATTTGTTGTTTAGATTACCAGTTATATGCATGCAAAATTGGAAAAAAAAGTTATAGGAAATTAGAAAAGAGGAAAAATTAAAAAAATTAAGCATTAACTACTCCTGTCAATAGACCAGCAGAAATCCACAGTACAACTATCCAACTTCCCCTGCTTACATACATATATCTCTTTTCCCCACACTCTCTCTCTCTCTCTCCTGTCCTCTTCATCTCAGTCATTCTTTCCTTTTGAACAGGTTTATTCCCTTTCACAGTATCTATTTTACCCTTCAGAGTTTACTTACTCTTTCAGGTTCTTACACTAAGGAGACAATACAATGTTTGCACATGTGGGTCTGATTTACTTCCCTTGACAGTATGGTCTCTAGTTGCGTCCATTTACCAATAAAAGCCTCACATGTATCCTTTTTATAGTTGAATAATACTCTATTGTGTAAAAATACTGCATCTTTTTTCATCTATTTTCCTCAGTTGGTGGATTTGCATCCAAGATTTAGCGATGACAAATTGCACTGCTATAAACATGGGTGCACATACATCACTGTGGTATGATGTTTTCATTTGCCCTGGAAAAGTACCCAGAAAGGGAATAGCTGGGTTGAATGGGACCCCCAATGCTAGCTTTTTGAGGAATCTCCACATTGATCTCCACAGTGGTTGTAGCAGTCTGCATTCCCACCAACAGTGGAGAAGGGTTCCTTTTTCCCACAGTCCCTCTCCAGCACTTGTTGACTTCTTCATGATAGCCATTCTTTCTGGGGTAAGATGGAATCTCAGTGTTGTTTTAATTTGAATTTCTTGAGAGACCAATGATGTTGAACATTTTTTCATATATTTATTTTCCACTTGTATTTCTTCATCTGAGAAATGTATATTCATCTCAGATGCCCATTTTTTAATTGGGTCTTTAAATTTTGGGGGCTTGGGGCCGGGGAGATGGCTCAGTAGGATAAGCGCTTGACTGGCAAGTGCAAGGATCTGAGTTCAATCCCCGGTTCTGAAAAATAAAAAAAAAAAAAGACATAAATTTTGGGGGCTTGTTTTTTTTTGTTGTTGTTGTTGTTGTCGTTGTTGTTTTTAATTCTTTATATGTTCCAGGTAGAAGGCCTTTATCAGACGGGCAGTTGGTTATAATTTTTTCCCAGTTCATGGGTTTTCTTTTTACTCTGTTGGTGACTTCTTTTGACATGCAGAAACTTCAAAAAGATGAGATCCCAATTGTTGATTCTTTGAAGTATTTCCTATGCAGTTTGTTTTTTGCTCATGAACCCTCTATCTACCTGTAAATCTTTAAGATTTCTGCCTACATTTTCCTCAAGGAGATTTAGAGTTTCTGTCTTAATGTCTAAATCCTGAGGCAGAGCACAGTGACTGAGGTTCAATCCCTGGTGTGCCGTGCCAGCCCCCCCCCAAGGCATGCTGAGACAGCGATTGAGACTGGCATGGTGGCGTGTGACTGATATTCCAGCACTCAGGAGGCTGGAAACAGGGGAATCACTGTGAGTCTGATCTACGTAGTGAGACCCTGTACACCCTGCTCACCCTATCCTAATTTTTAAAAAAATCTTTGATCTGGGGCTGGAAGATATCTCAGCAGTCTGAGCGCCTGCCTGGCAAATTCAAGGACCCAGGTTTGATCTCTGGTACTGAGCACCATGCCAGCCTTGGCACCTCGGGACTGCTGTACCAGCTACCAAAGCTGGGCATGGCGGTGCACGTCTGTAATTCCAGCGCTGAGGAGGCTGTAACATGACAAACGCTGTAAGTCCAAGCTGTGTAGCAAGACCCTGTACCAGCACACAAATAAACAATTTTTAAAAACTTAAATCTTTGATCCATTTTGACTGTAGTCTAAATGGTGATAGACATGGGTCTAATTTTAACCTTCAGCATGTGGAAAGCCAGTTTTTCCAGCATCATTTATTAATGAGGGTATGTTTCTTCCAGTGAACATGTTTGGCTCCTTTGTCAAAGATAAGGTGGCTGAGTGTGCTTTTAGTTGTGTCTGCATCTTCCATTGATCCACAGGTCTATTTTTATGCCAGTACCATGCTGATTTTATCACAATAGCTTTGTAGTATAATTTCAGGTCAGAGATTGAGATGCTTCTTGCCTTTCCTTTTTGCTCAGGATTGCTTGTGATGTTCTGGGTCTTTTCTGGTTCCAGATGAATTTGAGAGAAGTTTTCTCCAGCTCTATGAGGTATACTAGTTGTATTTTAGCCAGGATTTCATTGAATCTATATAACGTTTTTGGGAGTGTGGCCATTTCCATAATGTTGGTTCTTCTTATCCAGGAGCAAGGAATAGATCCCAGTGATCACCCAGAGTCAGCTGTGACAGGAGAGTGGTGGAGTGGGGTCAATACGGTCTTGTTATGAGGGGTGGGTAGGGCTCACCAGGACTCTCGTTGGTAGTGGGGAAGACTGGCCAGTGCTCAGGCAAGCTTCTGCACAGGTGGTGGGTGCGGGCTGGACTCCCCAGGCCCCGGCAGCTTTCTGGCATCTGCCTAAGTTCTTAGATCATGGGACTGGGTGCCAGCACAACTACTGCACTTCTGCCTCTTTTCCAGTCAAATGGCTCTGAATAGTCAGGCAGCTGGAGGCACGAAGACCAAGGCTTCTAGAGTTTACCCTCTCTGCCAGGACAAGCTCTGGAAGAACAAGGAACCCCACTTTCCACTCTTCACGGCTGGACAATAGAAGCAAATTTCCATTCCTCACTGTCCCAAGACTTGATTGTTACTGTTATCCTGAGCTACTGAAGCTTCAGATGGCTGAGGCTAGGACTGGCCTGCCTGAAGAGAGGACCAGGTCTGAGAGGAAAGACTTGTCTCTTTGTCTTCACAGACCTCATTGCTACCTGTGGGCCATGGTCTCCAGACCAACCTATCTGAAGACCCCTGGGGTACCCTCTAGTGTGGCCCAAAGTTGGCCCAGAGTGTGTAGCAAACCCTCCCCAATCTGGTGACGGTCTCCCAGGAGTATAGCTCTGGCATTCCCTCCAACATTGGGTCCCCTGAAGCCCAGGGCTTCCCCCTTATTCTTCCTATCAGGCAAGAGCCCCATGCCTGACTGAACAAGCTCCCCCGCCTCTTTCTTTTTTTTTTTTTTTTTTTGGAGGGGACAATGAAAGGGAATGACCATATTAAGCAGGAAGAAGGAGCCAGGTACTGGTTGGAAACTCACGTGGTTTAGCTCATGATGTTCCCTCAGCCACCCTGGGGCAAGGTCTATTGTTCCCAAGTCACAAGAGTGGAAATGGTGGGGCTGGGGAATTGGCTCAGTGGAATAAGCACTTCCCTGGCAAGCGCAAGGACCTGAGTTCAATCCCCGGTTCCACAAAAAAAAAAAAAAGAGTGGAAATGGTTTACTGTGGATCAGGCAACTTTCTCAAGGCTACGAAGAACCTCCCATGGGTAAAGAGCTGGAACGAGAACCAAAACCTGTGCCAGGAGGCTTCATGTGCCTTACTATGAACTCTTCCCAAGGACTCTGAGTCTTCTAGAAGCAAAATATCAATCTGGACCAACATCTATGTCCCAAAATAGAAATTATAAGCACTGGAACTTTCGATGCCTGCTACCATCAGTTGGCATGGAGATTTGCCTCCTCTGTTCCCTCTCCCACTCCTGCAGTTCCGCAGTGAGGTCTCCTGCTGGCCAAGCTCCAACAAGGGGCTGTGCCTCCCTCATCTGCAGCTTCGCCTGCAGCACCTGGAAGTGAAAACATTTGAGAACTTAAGTAGTTAGCAGGCCCTATCCAGGTGAATGGCTCCTAGCACCCTGTGCGCAAAGCCCAAGGAGAGCACCCTCCTGACTTGTGAGAAAAGGCCGGGGACGCCGCCTGGGCCCTGAATCCTTTTGTCCTCAAGGTCCGCAGCAGCTGGTTTCTGACCACCTGCACACACACCCCGAGCTCCTGCTCTCAGCACCCCTCACCTTCTGTGGGCAGGGCTGGACTCTACCATGCATCTTTCTGACTCTTACAGGGAGGGAACGTCTTGCTTCTTGCCTTGGAGTTACAGTTCAGGAAGCCACCCAGTTTTTGGAGAGTTTTCTGCAGAAATACAAGAAAGTCAAGGACTTTGCCCAAGCAGCTATTTCTCAGTGTCACCATACAGGTAAGCCAGCCACAGCCAAGCCCAAGACAGCCTCTGCTCCCTCCCTTTCTGTAACAACCCGTGGTGTCCTTGGCTCCTGGTTCTGCAGTTGGATGGGGGTGAGTGGCTGGGCCAGCCTCAGCTCCTGCTAGGGAGACAGGACAGAGGGCTTCACGTGAGAAGGGCCAGAGCCAGGCTCCACTTAGAGCAACAAGATGGACAAAGTGGAGCCAACAAGTGACAGCTACACAGCTACATAGAGACAGGCAGAACCCTGGACTCAAAAATGGAGAAGACATATTTCCACAGAAAGCATGTGATACATTTACAAAATATCTTCACAAAATATCTCCACATTTTCAAGTTTCACAAGAAACCTAAAAAGATTTCAAAGAATATCAAGTAGAACCCACACACTTATTAGTAAGTAATTTAAGATAAAAAAGACATACCAAGAAAAGGACCCCAAAAAATAGAAATAATGACAGCAAAGCTTGCTTTGAAAGAAGTGCACATAAGCTCTCTGGCCCAGAAGCAAATAGGCTGCAAGAATGAATGCTTCAGGAAGTTCATCACACATAAAGGGAAAAAGCCCTCAGTGTCACCTACCTTTAGCATTTAGTATGGAGGCCGGTCAAACAGCTCTACAGATTAGCTTAAGCACCTGCAAGCAGGCGCGGGGGCCGGGGGTTCAGCGGATCACTCTGAGTCTGATCTAGTAGTGAGACCCTGAACACCCTGTAGACCCTTCCCTAAAATACAAAATAAATAAATAAATAACATTTAGTTCATTTTTAGGAAATGCTTCCGCGATTTGTCTTTAGGAATAAGAAAGTATTTGTTAAATTCAGCTTTGACAATAAACGTGCTCCACTGAAAATGTGCACATAGAATATGAACCCATCTGTACCTGAGAATTATTTCTTCCATCAAGTATAGTTCAAAGCGCATCTACAAGAACAGGGTGCCGTCATTATTGCTGGACTATCAGCACCGTTCTTGTGAGCAGAAACTAACACCGAAAATTAAACTTTCTTATCAACTTACCTGAAAGAAGCTGAGATACAGTATATGTTATATTAACAATATCCAGTTTAAATTATTAATTCAGGGTATTGAAACTTATTCCTATAGGACCTTCTATCATCATCATATATTTAAAGCAAAAACTTTGATTTAGCCAAGCATGGTGATAGGTTTGCCTGCGGTCTCAGCTACTTGGGAAGTTAAAGCAGGGGAGTTGAAGGTTCAAGGCTGACCTGAGCAACTTGGGAGACCCTGTCTCAAGACAAAACTTGAAAGAAGGCAGGGGGCAGAGCACTTGTCCCATCCTCAGGCTCAGGGTCCATTCTCCAGCACTAAAATAAATCAATATATAAACCTGTTAATAAAGGTTCCTTGGCACAGTTTGGTTCAGGATTTTTAAATTTTCCTTGTGAGTAGTAGTGAGGTTCAGTACTGATAAGCAATGAGGTGTGCTTTTGATTTTGTTTTTGGAGTGGCCAGAACTGCAGACTCCCCGGGGCTCGCGACCTCCACCCGCTGTCACTGCTCCTGCTCCTGCTCCCCGTGACACTGGCTCAGATGGTGCTGCCCAGGGCGGCAGGAGGCCGAGACACAGCCAAGGTGGTTGATGCCTCAGCGCACTCACTGCACTTGTTGTGTGCGTTCACTTTCAATTGTAGGTTCCAAGCTGATATTTTTAAGCAAATCAATGTAAGGAATGGAGTAGTAATTTATTTTTCCATAATTTTATGGAGTAGTAATTTATTTTTTCATAATTTTATTGAGAAACAAATAGCAATGAGACAGTTTCAAACCAAATTGGTAGGACAGTTTCAATAACTAACACATTGCATACATTCTTCCTAGTGGTTAATTGCTGTACAAGATGCGGACATGATATCCTATCTACAAACACCATTAGAACAAATCCCTCTATTCATTAAGAGAATGTAACTATATCTATCCTAACCACTTTGAATACACAGATACAAAATGGACATTCATCTGTATCCCCTTTTTTTGTTAAGTTCCATTATTTGAATATTATAGGTGTGTAAACTGGAGTAGTAATTTAATAAAGTTAATTTCTTTATTTTAGGCAAAGAACAACAGTAAAAATATCAAAGAATGCTATCCTAATGCTTTCCTTGAAAATAAAGAACAACTTTTAAAAACTATTTTTAAAGAAAGAAATTCATGACTATAAATGAGTTGCATTTGACACAAATAATTTGGAAAACAACAGCAGAGTAAATTAAAGAAGGTAGGGAATCAATGGAGCAGTAGGAATTAATGAAGTACACGACAGAGGCACAACTAACAATTGGTGCAGAGAGCACTCCCGAGTCACCACTTGCTAGGAGTGACAAATGAAGGCCAGCTGGAGGTCTGGCCCGCGGGACACTGCTCCAGGGGTTCCCACAGGTCCCTGCAGGCCACAGGCAACACCTGTGATGTCTGACTCCTCCCAGGGATCCCATGAGGGTGTGGGTGGCTCGCCACAGGCTCCCAGCCTACAGGTGGCTACACCATCTGCAGCTGGGAGTCCCGCGATCCAGCACACTCGAGCATGGCTCCCACAGCCCCACTGCCCCACGCTCCCTGGGCATGTGAGATAAGGGTGCCCGTGACTGATTCCACCCCTAGTGACCAACAGGCCACAGCCTTCCCTGGGAAGATCGACTGCCCACCAGTCCTAGCCATCTCCTGCCCAAGAGCCCCATACTTAGCCAACGTAAGGGTATTGTCAATTTTAAATGTGTTGACCTAGGGATAGCACCCAGGATCGGTAAGAGGATACAGAGCCAGGATCCGCTCCTGTGCTGTGGACAGCGGTTACCTGTGGTGCTGACACTCACATAGCACCCCCGTAGTTGGGCGTGACCCTGGATGTCTCTGTGAAGTGACCCACCTAATTCTCCCCGCATCCTAGAAGTGGGTAGTATTGCTACCCTTATTATTTTTCCATTTATGTATTTGGATACAAGGTCTCACTGTGCAGCGCCGACTCATAATGATCTTCCTGTTTCCAGCCTCCCCCGCTCTGGGATGACAGGTGTGCACCCCCATACCCGGACTGTGAGGTGGGGTGTTGCCTCTATTCTGCAGCATAATAAGCAAGTCCCTGGGGAGGTTAAGCAACTGCTGGGTCCAGGGCTAACAGGCAGAGCCCCAGGGCACCCCACCTCGATGACTATCTCCCCTGCTGGCTTCTACCTCTCACCAAGGGGGAGAGCCAGGCCACTTTCCAAGCAAGAAATCTGTGGGCCCCAGCCCTGGAGATTACACACGGGACAGGCTGTAAAGCCTGAGAGCAGTCGCCTGTTCATGGTACCAGGCTGACACCGGAGACGCCAGGCACGCCCAGCAGGGGAGACAGCTCCCAGGAGAGCGGAGATGTTCAGACGCAGCAGGGAGACTGCACCCTGTGGGTGGAAGGGACTGCAGGGCCCAGCGCAGGCAGCTGCCAGCCATAGCCTCATGGAGGAGGCGACTGGGGCTGAGATGGAGGTCAGGCTGAATGAGCTGTGAAGGCCAGAGAGCAGAGGGGCCAGGTAAGCCCAGCTGGGCACCCAGTTCTAGCACCCTGAGGCAGGAGCCCTGCAAGCTTGAGCTCAGCCTAGGGAATTTAGCATTTTAGTGATATTCTGTCTCAAATGTTAAAAAGCACTGGAGATGTAGCACAAGGCAAAAGCCTGGGTTCAATCCCAGTACCAGAAAAAAAAAAAGAGAGAGAGAGAGAGAGGGAGGAAGGAGGAAAGAAGGACAGATTACCAGCCAAGGGAAGCTGCAGGCCCTGGAACTCACCATGTTGGAAGCATGGCTCTGGGCCCTCACCGGCTGGTGCTGCAGGACTCCACACAGAGATGGCCTCGTGTGGGTGGTTAGTGCCTGTCACTGTGATTGTCCTACAGGTCCAGAGTGGCTGAGGGATAGGGCACCCGGCCAGGAGGCACAAGGCCTGGGTCCCAACCCAGCACTGCACATACACAATTGCTGCGTATGTGAGGGAGTTTTGCAGTCCTCAGACTGTGGAAGGGTTAGAGGGATAGGGCAGCCAGTCAGGAGACACAAGGCCTGGATCCCAACCAAGCACTGCACATACACAATTGCTGCGTATGTGAGGGAGTTTTGCAGTCCTCAGACTGTGGAAGGGTTACTTCTCACCCACATCTGTGAAAACGGAAGTCCTCACTGCACAGGAATGTGCTCGGCCAATGCAGCACGCTCGTGTCCAGGTCCATAAGGAGAGAGACCGGACCCTCCAAGCCTCCAGGCCTCATGGAGGGCCCTGCCTTTCCTAGAGTAGGAGTAGACTCTGGCCTCTGACTCATACCTCCACTTCCTCCCTCCACACACCAGCAACCAGGCCACGCAGGCACACCTGGCCCTGAACAACTTATACAGGGTGTCCTGTGTCAGGCATGAGTGCCATGTGCCACCTAACCTGTGTAGCCACCCACTTGTCAGGCAACAGGCCATGTGGACGTTGCTGTCCACCAAGTGCCGCACTGTGTCTGTCACCATTTACCATCTGCTTCTTCCTCCCATGAACCAGGCTACGTGGCCTCTATTATGGGCAGAAGGAGGCCTCTGCCAAGGATCCATGCACGGGACCCCCAGCTGCGGGCTCAAGCAGAGCGACAGGCCGTGAACTTCATGGTACAAGGTACCACACCCCAGCCTACAGCCGTACCGTGCTCCCCAGGGCCTGCTAGCCCTTCAGTTCCTTCCAGGAGGAACCCACAGTGAGGTTCCTCCCACAGTGAGGACATATCCCCGAGAGCCATCATGGCCACCCCTGTCCCTGCACATTGGAAGTGAGTACTGGAGCCAGTCCAGAAGCTCTGTCAGGTGTTCAGGCCTGGGACCCCTCTGACATACCCCTGAGTGCCTGGCAGGGGCCACACATCAAAAAACCCACCCTGGGTGCTGAGTGGGAGATGGAGAAGTCAGAGGTACTGTTTGCTTCCAGGTTTAGTGACTCAGCATCATTGCAGGAGCAGTGACAGTGTCTGCAGCAGGGGCCAAGAGGGGCAGTGATAGCTCACAATGCCCCATGAGCCTTACACCCCTGGCATGGTTCTCTGTCCACAGGCTCAGCAGCCGACCTCTGTAAGATGGCCATGGTCCGTATCTTCAGTGCAGTAACCACTTCTTCCACGCTGACGGCCAGGTCAGTGGGATGTTTGGGATCCTACACACACACACCTCTATGCACTAGGCCCAACCCTTGCCAGCTTGTGGGAAGGAATGCTGTTGCATGCAAGACACCCAGCTGGGTCTGCCACTGACCTATGGGCTCCCAGCTCTGACCCCACCACCCCAGATCAAAGAGCCCCAGGTTCTGGGCCCTACCCTGGACCCTGTGCCACCGGGGGTGTGAGGAACAGCTTCCAGCACAACGCAGAGTGGTGGCAACAGAGAGGCTACCCACAGCCTCCGAGGGCCTGAGGGAGGTGCAACTCAAACCACAGCCCTGTAGCAGACACAGACTCTGCCCCCATCTGCTGCCCCCAGAACCAATATGTGCTCAGAGCTGATGGGGCCCCACCCCACACAACTCTTGGGTCTGCCTCTGCCCCCAAAGCTCAGCCTCAAGTGTCAGGGTGGCAGGAGACAGACAGCCTTACTCTGGCCACCACTCCTGTTGAGTGAGACCTGGTGCTGCTGTGGACGCCCACCCTGACACCATCCGTCCTCGTGGGGACAGAGTGTCTTTGAGGGTCTTAGCACCACTTCTTGCCCTCTAACCCTGGTCAGACCCTCAAAGAGCAGATCTTGTCACAGTAGGATGGCCTCTGACTTGGGTGGCCGCAGCTCCTCTGGTTCTTAAAGTGTCCTCCTCTGTCCAGGAGTGCAGTGCTTTCTTGGCTGAGGGTATTATTTTACAGGCTCAGGTCTGATCTCTTTCTTCCTGTAGGCACATGTATGTAGATGGGTGCCCTGTCACCCCAAGGGTGGGAGACTGTCCCCAGCCTCCGGCCTCACTGCCTCTGCCCGTCACACCAAGCACTGCCTCATTGGCAGGCACATGGGGGTGGCCACCCTGGGCCACGGAGGAGGTGCCTAATACACTGCCACACCCCACAACGTGGGCCATGGAAGAGGTGCCTGATACACTGCCATACCCCACAACGTAGGCCACGGAGGAGGTGCCTGATATGCTGCCACATCCCATAATGTGGGCACGTGAGCACGCGCAGCACACATGTGCACACACACCAAGACATAAAGACATGTGCACAGACATGCATGCATGTTGCCTCACAGAAGCCCTGCACAAGGTTTTCTATAATTCCTGAGATCTACGCATCTGCCCACCTCCACAGCTTCTCAGCGTCCACTCAGGTATGAATGGCTGTGCTAGTTTCCCTTGTGAGAGGGCAGGTGGCTTTGTCTACAATCATGCCTGGCTTCACTTTGTGTGGACTTGGTGGGGAGTTGCACATGAGGCCTGAAGTCAGCTGCAGACACCCTCCCAAAAGCTGGGCGTGGCTGGTTTTTAAATGGCTGCCTAACAGCCACTTGTTTTCACTAACCATAGGCAGGGGAAACTGAGGCATGGCACATGATGCAACTTGTCCAGGCTCATGTAGAGCCTGACCAAGACCAGGTCCTCCCGCACCCCCAAGTGACAGCATCTTGGAAGTAGATTTGGGGCAGAGCTGTCATGCAGCCACTTTTTGCAGGGGAGCTCTGCACAGCTGGAGGCCTCCTGGGAAAGAAAATGAAAGGAAGCTCTTCTGGAATGTTCCCTCACAGAAGCCAGGCTCTGTTGCCTTCACCAGGCTGAGCCCTAACCCTAACCCCCTCCAGAGCAGGGTCAGGAAGTCAGCCTCAATCTGCTCCTGTCCTGGAGCCAGCGTGTCCCTGTGGCCCTGCTCCCAGTCAGGAGCGCACATCTTGGGGCTGTGAGGGCGATGTGACTAACACCTCTTCCTATCTTAGGTCTGCCACACCAGCAGCTCAGAATTTCACAGTGTGATTTCAAGACGTGTGAAACTGCTTCTGCTAAATCTGGAGAGTTTACAAGTGCTTTCTGAGGTTTCTGAACAAGGAGCCCTCAGGAGCCAGAGCCCCTGCAAGGACCTCCAAGTTAGTGTCAGGAAGTACAGGAAGGAGTAGTCCCCAGCCCGTGCCCTGCCTCGGGCTGGCTTCTGAGGCAGTGCTGTGCCCTAGCCAGAGGCTGTGGGGGCACAGGGCACACACACATGTCTCCCTGGTGATGCCACTGTCCCTGTGCACACGCCTAGGACACGCTCTTGGCCCCTGGGAGGACGGTCAGCCACAGCAGCTGGACTCCAGAAGGGGAGTCCAGGGCATAGCTGCTCACTTCATTTCAGAGGCTCAAGACCACAGCACTAAGCTCCCTCTGGTTCTCTGGCCCTTTCTCTCTTGGGATCATGGTGCAGGTGACTGATTGAACCATCACAGTATTTTCCAGGCAAAAGGAGAAAGTAGTGATAGAAGTCTCCTGGGGAGTCAGAGGGCACATACCTCCTGGGCCACTCAGGCCATCGGAGGCCCAGCAGGTGCTCCCTGTAGCTGGAGCAGAGCTCCATCTCCAGCCTGCCCAGCCCCACAGGGCCTACAGGTAGGAGCCAGGAGAAGGTGGAACACTGCCTCTGGGCCCAGTGTAGCCCCCAGCCTCAGTTTACCCTCTGTGCCACAGCACTGCCAGTGGGCCCTTGCCACACCTCCCCTGTAGAATCTGGCTTCATGGCACCATGTGGAAGCCTGGAGTCAGTGTAGGGGCAATAGGGTGGGGTATGGTTACTGCCCTTCAGGGCCCAGGCCAATAGGCAGAGCATGAGGGGCCTCTGATGTCCCTTCGTGACCACCCTGAGCCACTTGCTCCCTCCCTAGCCAGCCCTTCGTCCCCAGGGGGAGCTGGCACACCAAGAGCATTGTGAGCCCTGTCTGCTGGGAGCTCGGACCAACCTGATCCCAGCTCTGGAGCACACATGGGTCACGTGCTAATAGGAGCTGTGTCACTGAGGCCGCCCAAGCATGGAGGCACAAGCCTGTAAGCCCACATTCTGCAGGCTGAGGTAGCAGGCAAGCATGTTGAAGGCCAGCTGGGACAAAATCGTGACTTATGGAGACCCTGTCTCAAAATTTTGAAAAAACTATAGAAGGACTGAGGATTTACTACATTATAAAGGCGCTGGGTTCAATCCCTAGTAAAGAGAAAAAGAAAACACTCAGGTGACCCTACCTAGCACTGCAGTGACCCTGCTTAGCGCTGTGCTGACCCCAAGCCCCACACACAGGTCAGGCTTGTGAAGCCAGGAGCAAAGGCCTTCCCAGGGCTGAGGAGGGATGGCCTGGAGGAACCCTTACATGCAGCCTTGGGGCAGGCGAGGCCTGGGGAGCTGGCAGAGAGGGTCCCACCCACATCCTGCCATCCCCAGGCTCTCAGGCCAGGATGTGGCCCTAGAGCTCAGTCCATGTAACCCAAAACAGGTGGGGCTGCGGCTGGTACCCAGACTGAACTGCATCCCCACACAAGCACCCATCCTGTCCAGTCCTGCTGGGCCAGCTCACACCCCTCTCAATGGGAGCACTCTAGGAGGATTTTCAAATTTTGCAGTTTTAGGGCTGGTAAGATAACTCAGCGGACTAAGCTCCTACTTTGGCAAGCACAGAGACCTGACTCTGATCCAGGTCCCGCATGCCACTCCAGCCCCACCCCTGGGGCACAATGAGCAAGAGAATGAATCTGGCACATGTCTGTAATCCCAGTGCTGAGGAGGCTGAAGACAGGAGGATCACTACGAGTCCGAGCTGTGTAGTGAGACCCTGTACCAAATACATACATGAAAGTAAATCAAGAAATTTTACAGTTTTGAATATGGATGTATTTTCCAACTTTTAAGTGTGTTTTGATTTCTTTGACCACACTCCCCAATTTTTTTTTTTCTTTTTGAGACAGAGTCTCATTATGTAGTTCAGGTTGATCTTGAATTCACTGTGTAGCACAGGCAATCCTGCCTCCACCTCCTGAGTGCTGGAATTACAGATGTGTGCTATTATTCCTGGTTCAAAAGCAAATTGTTAAAAGACTGCATCCCCACCCTCTTTCTGTAAACTGAGATAGGGTGTCCTCCACATGCCGGCACATTCACCCCTCATAATGGGCCCTCCATGATCTTCAGAGGATGGCATGGACAGGACCAACAACCCATAACTGGCTCCCCTGGACCCTTTCTGGCAGTCCCAGAGTGTCCCACTGACAGTGGGTGACAGCCCCCATAGCCCCACCCCCACCCCCCAGCACCTCCAGATAACACCTGCTACTTCCAGGTTGGTTGCCCAGATTCACGATGAGCTGCTATTTGAAGTGGAGGACTCACAGGTCCGAGAGTTTGCAGGTGAGCCTGGGGGTCAGGGCCTTTCTCTCCTAGATTGAAGCCCCCGTATCTCCTCCTCATGCTCCCATGGCAGACAGAAGCCCCCACTCAGTCTAGGGTCCTTGGATGGCCCCGGGGGCGACCAGTGCTTACAGCATCCTTGAGCTTACTGGAGTCCAGGGCTATGCATCCTCTGGACATGGGAGGGAGGTCTGGAGTGATACAGCACAGCCCCCCAAGACTGTCAGGCACCCTGGGGCAGCCCATCAGATTCAGCAGACTGCCTGGTGGCCACAGGGATCTTGATGCCTGTACCTAGCTGCTCTGGCCAAGGTGGACCAGCAGCTCCTCTTCCCAGCCCAAGCCTGATGGCCTGAGCCTGGCTTTGGCTGTCCCCAACCATGGAGACCTGAGGCTTTGGGGAAAGCTGTGTGGGTGAGAGGACACGTCCCAGGCTGTGGACAGCTGTGTGCAGGGTGAGGCCCAGAGCAGAGGCTTTGGGTGAGAACCTGGGGACAAGCAGGTTGCAGCAGGAGTTTCCTGTTGCAGCACTTGTCAAGGGGGCTATGGAGTCCTTGCAGCACCTTTGGAACCCGGAGCTGCAGCTGCAGGTAAGGGACACACTGGTGGCATGGAGTCTGCTCTCCTGGAGTGGAGCCTTTGGGAGGTGGGCACTGCAGTGACAGGGTTAGAGCTAGAGCAGCTCCTCCTGTAGAGGGGAGCTGCAGAGGTTCAGATCCAACCTTGGACAGGGGCCCACTCAGAATCAGAGCTGGTTAAGGCAGTGGCCCTTGGGGATGGTGGGTATAGATGACCCAGGACACCTTGCACCCAAGGGTACCTTGGCTGGTGGCCCTGCAGGCCTGCTTGCGGCACAAGGCCGGTTGTGGGGTGCTGACAGTGGGGTGGTGTGAGTCTGTTGTTAGCCATCTGCTGGGCTGTGTCCATTCATGTCTGTGGTAAATGTACAACTGTACTCTGGGACCTGAGCCCCACATGTGGGCTGCCCTGAGGCTTGCACTGGGCTGCTGTCCACAGGTGCCCCTGAAGGTGAGCCTGAGTGCTGGCCACTCGTGGGGATGCCTGGCCCCACTGCAGTAGGCCCTGGACCTGGGCTCCGCCGAGTCACACACATCCAAGTCTCCAAGCAACAGCTGCCCTCCACCAGGGCTCCTCAGCATCTACCCTCTGTGTGTGCATTTTTCCCCTTCATTTTGTCTGTAGCCCCAGGCAACAGTGAGAGGCGTGAACTGGTTTCCACCAGCCCATTGTGCAGCCTTTCAAGGTCACCAGCGGGCAGTGTGGAAGCCCAGGAAGGGACAGGGCTGGGTTGGCCCGAGTAAAGGCCTCATGCAAAGCCATCCTCCAGGTCTGAGTGAATCTTGGGGAGGGTCCTGTCCACAGCCCCCCACTATGGGCTGGAGCTGAGCACTGTCTAGTGGGCCACACAGGGAAGAAGCTGCCATCCAGGGCAGGAGGCAGCAGCCTGGTTCCACTCTGGGGCCCGCCTGGGATGGAATTCCAACTGAGATGTGTTGCTGAGCTTAGTGTTTGTTACCTGAGCCCCAGGGAGGCATGGACTGAGTTGGCAGAGGAGCAGCCTATGACCCTGGCGCAGGGAGTGGCTGGGAAGGAATGTGCAGGGCCATATTCCTTGTGGCTGTCAGGAGAGGGGTGGGGAAAAGGGAGGCAGAGGGCAAAGTTCATGATGGGGGGCCTAAAGTCTCTCTAACTCCCAGGGCCCTCTGCCACCAGGCTGACATCGAGCACTGGAGTCTGCCGGAGAAGAGTCTATGCCCACCCCAGTGCCCACACCTCTTCACCCCAGGTCACTCACCCTCCTTGCTGACAGTGGGGCTCCATTCCACCCCTCCCTCAGACTTAGATCCAAACCTCACACCGTCTTCAGAGTGCTGGGCAGGCAGGAGCCCCAGCCTGAGGTACAGCCACCCACTGAGGGGTACCAACGTCACTGAAACTAAGAATTCAGACCTGGAGGCCTGACCTGGCCAAAGTCCCAACAGCACCCACACTCAGGCTCCCAGGTGCCCAGCCCCCAAGCTCAAGTCTTGGCCTTGATGGCACCTCAGGCCCAGGCCCAGACAGAGCAGAATGGCTTGGCACTGGGGTCCCCTGGCAGGGGCCAAGCTGTATCTCAGCAAGGTCAGCAGCTTAGGTGCCCAGAACCTGGGGGGAGCCAGAGCCACTGGGCAGCTGCTCAGGAGCACATTGGGCTGAGCCAAGTCCCCACCAGCCCCAGCTCCCCCAGGGCTGCCCTATTCAGAACTATGAGGGGCCACAGCCACCACTGCAGGCAGCAGGGCAGCACTCCTCCCCAAATACACTTGGCAGGCCCACAGGGCCGCCTGCTCCAGGGTCAGCTCAGCCCCGCTGCCCAGGAGGGGGGGGCAGGGGCCTGCGTTGGGGGCAAGGTGGTGTCTCAGTAAAGCACAGAGCTCAGTTCCTTCAACTCTGATTTTATTGAAAAACAGCAGCATTGGGGGCCACACAGGCCGGCACACACCCACTCGGGCCCAGCCTGTCTCCTGGGGACTTGGCTCATCACCTGGCCCTCAGGGCTGCTTTGGCACATCCTGAGGCCGCAGGACACCCACCCTGTCCTGGGCTCACAGTACAGCTTCAGGAACACATGACAGCAGTGAGACCCACCACGACAACGCGCCCTCCATCCCCGGCCCAAGCCGGCCAGTGTCTGTCCATGGGGCTCCTGTCCCCTACCCTGCCACGGCCAAAAGGGGGTGGACTGGGGCTCGCCACCCCTGGGGGGGGGGCTGGGATACATGCACGTGGAGCCAGCCAGGAACCCCAGGACCCTGCTTCTCACCAGAGCACATCCCAGCTCAGGAAGCTCTCCCCTGCCTTCCCCATCACACACCTGTGCACACGCACGCGCACACACACACGACAAATCCATGTTCACAGCCACACACAGGAACATGCCCACCCACAGGCTCACACATGCTGCCCTTGTACACACATGTACCTGCACATGTACATATGTGCACTCACACAAACACACGTGTACACATGCATACATAAACATAGACTCGCATCCACAGATACACAGGTGCACTACACAGGCACACACACACATGCACACACACACACACACACACACACACATAGGTACACCCCTTCCTTAAAATGGCTAATTATTGCTGTTTTAAAAAAAAATACATCCAATGGTGGTAAGTCAGGGCTCAGCCTTCACCCAAGCCCGGGCAGCTCTGGCCAGCTGTGCTGCCGTGTCCCATGGATGTCATGCCACAGGGCCATTTATTCCAGGGCTAGCCCCACCCCCCACCCTGAACTCAACCCCAGAAGCCTGAGCCCAAGCCCAGGCCTGGCAACACATCTGAGTTTGCAGACAGCAAATCGGTCCAGCACTCACTCACCAGATGGGCAAGCAGCAGCCCCTCAGCTTTAGGGTTCACTCTTTTCTGCTGCCCTTTGGGCATTAACAGGACGGTAGCCCTAGGGGTGCCCACACATCCCCAGCCAGGCTGGGAGCCACCTCCTGCCCAAGAAGCCCACACATCAGCAAAGCCCAGAGACAGAACTGGTCGTATGCACAGTCCTGGAAACCAGCTCCAGGGAGGTATGGGCTTGGCCCCCCTGCACAGGTGGGGGAGGCGGCACCGGCATTGAGCCGCCCAAAACCAGGCCCTTGGCTCAGAACACCCAGGTCCTGGTACCGGCCTGGAAGCTCCTCCCCTTAGGGCCTGGGGGTGCCTGTCACTCATAAAGGGCTGCTCGTGGCCCTGCACTCTGAGCTGCTGCTGTCTGCTTCCTTTGGGGCCAGCTGTTCACCCCCTCTGCCTCATCATCTGCAGGCATCGCAGCCTACGGGTATGGAGGAAGGTGCAGGACGGGGAAGGGGCTGCCACGGCCACAAGGGCTCAACCTTCCTGTGCTCAGGGGTCAATCACACATGGCCTCAGCACAGGGGTGCCAACCTCCTGGCCACCCACCACAGGGCTGGCCATCTGAACAGATGCAGGCCTGGCAGCCACAGGCCACAGCACAGGCTCAGCAAACACCGGTGACCCGGACTTAGTTCCTGTGTGCCCACCCTCCCCACTCCATAAGAAGTGGCTGCAAACAAACAACAGAAATCCTGGGCACCAGGCTGACACCCCTGGACCTTCCCAGGCTACCAAGGGGGCCGAGACCCAGGGAGGCAGCAGTGGGCCAGCAAACTCAGAGGAACTGTGCTGAACACTGGGCAGCGAGTCCAGAAGGGCCTCCATAGAGGTAGAAGACACAGCAGTTTCCACAAACGTATAAAATTCATGTCAGTGCACAACTTCAGAGCAATTAGCGCTCAAGCTGGAGGGACGTGGAGGGCTGGGGTGAGCAGGGGCATCAGCGCCAGACCCAACCTATAACTCAAGGGGCAGGAGGTCTGCCCACCAACCTGTGAGGGCTGAAGCCCGCCCTGCCAGCCTGCTCCTGGCATCTTGGCTCAATCCCAATGGCACTGGAAGGGTGGCAAAGGGTAGTTGAGCGCCAACAAGCATCCCTCCATCAACCAATGGGGCCTTGTGGCTGGGATGATTCCCTAGGGCAGAGGTAGCAGCAGCCAGGAGGGCAATCCGCCCCGCCCAGACCCTCTGACCACCCCCACCCCCGCAGTGGGGTCTGCCATGAGTCACTTGCAGGTCGATTTAAGGGCAACTGGGCTCTGCCCCAGTCCATGCCCCCAAGCCCAGGATTGCAGGCTCCAAAGACATAGGGAGAGAAGCCTCACTGGCCGGAGCTGCCCACCAACCAGACACTGCCACCTACAGAAGCCTTGCCCCTGCCCTGAGCCTCAGACAGGCCAGCAGCCCCAATGTCCCCTGGCAACTAAGACCAGCCCAAGCCAACACCAAACCAAACAGAAAAAGAAGGCACAACTGTTTGTTTTCCATTTTGCTAAAACACTTTTACATCTGTCTGTATAATCCAAATTAACAAAATCTGAGAGCTGCAAGAAAATAGGGTGCCAATTTCTGTACAGTCTACAAAACTCCCACCCCGAGGGGACCGGGCACCACCAGGGAGGAATATACAAGGGACAGCGGGGTCTGTACAGTGCTCTGCAAGTGCCTCAGCTGCTACCAGGACAAGAAGGCCCTTGCAGTACTGGGCTGCGCTGCCGAACCTTTTGCTCAAGAACCTTGCTAAGGGACCAGCTCTGTGGCTGCCACACCTGCAGCCCCTTAAGCCCCACACAAAGGGAGTCTGGGCTGCGCCCCCATATAGGGTCAGGCACAGGGTCCACTGGCCAGGGGTCACTGCTAGCCCTGCCCTCCTCTCCCTGACCAGCCACCCTTCAGCTAGTCAAGCTGGCCACAAGGCACAGCAGGTCCTACTCCACTACCATAGCAGTGCCCAGCCCCTCAGGGCTGTGGGACTTGCCCTATCCCCTCTATCCTACAGACGAGAGCTAGGAGGGGCAACCTGGAGCTCCCTCACCATCCAGGAATGTTTTCAGGGTGATTCCACTAGGTCACGGTTTCCCTCCAGATCTCACTGTGAAGCCCTCCACCCGCCCGGCCACCCACCCCACCAAGGGGGCCAGAAACAGTGCTTATGCTAGCACCACACGCATGCGTGTGTCTGAAGATACGAACTACCATTCTGTCCCAAGAATTAAAGTCATGCAGAATGCTATTCTGTCTAAGTAACTTATTAGAAAACGGATCATTTCAGGCTGGGAGAAGCTGTGTCTGGGCATCGCCGGCAGCAGCCTGGGCTAGTAAGAGTCACAGGGTGGACCCTGGCAGACAGCAGAGACAGGAGGCCACAGGCAGCTGGGAGGGAACACCTGATCTAGCAGGGGCTGAGGCACAGATGTCCCCGGGGCCTCCTCCCAGACGTAAGACAGGTCGCTACAGGAACCACACCTGAGTGCCGCACCAAGCCAGCCAAGCCCGGGCACAGGGCGCAGGGACCAGAAGGACAGAGGTGACATGGTATCAAAGCAAAGCAGAAGTAGGTGGAGCAGGCGGGTGAACCCAGGCCAGGGCCCCTGGAGTGCACACAGGCCAGGCAGTGCCCACAGGCCTGGGTCCCGTCCAGATAGGGCAGCAGGGCAAGGGGCTGTGGCATGCGGCATGCGGCAGCCAGGCCACGTCCTCAGCATGCACAGAGCAGCACGGAGCTTGCGGCCAGCTCGGTCTCCCTTGGGATGGCAGCCGGCCAGCCTGGGCCACACTTCAGGGATGACGGCCGAGCCACAGCCTGGCTGGGGGGCCAGGGTCTGCTCCCTAGAGGGTTTGGGCAGAGCTTCTGTGCTTAATGGGAGAGGTGAGGCCTTCCGGACAGAGGCAGGTGGCAGCTGGGTGGGCAGTCTGGGGATCCAAGGCTCCACTTCCCAAGGCTGAGAGGGCAGGGGCCGAGGCTGCAGACCCCACCCCACCACCACGTCACAGGTGAGCAACAGCGCCACACCTCAAGGAACAGCCAGGTAACCGCGTGATGTTGAAGGAGAAAACCTGACACAGACGCCAAGGTGAGCGTCTGGGAGCAGGGCCACGCCGGGTGGCGGGCAGGCGGGTGGGCGGGCGCAAGTGGAAGGGGTGGATGGGGTGGTGGGCAGGCAGCGACCCTCACTCCTCACGCAGCTGCAGGCGGTAGCGGTGGTAGCGGACCTGGAAGAAGAGGCGCTCGGCCAGCGAGAGGGTCATGCCAGGCAGCACGTAGTGGTCACTTGCGCCCATGTGTCTGAAACCCAGTGACTCGTAGAGCTTATGGGCAGCCACCTTGACAGCTGTGGTGCCCAACACCACCGCAGAGTAGTTGTGCACTACCGCAAACTCCAGCACCTTCCGGCCCAATGCCTTGGCGATGCCCTTGCCGCGGAAGCGGGAGTCCACAGACATGCGCAGCAGCTCCACCGTGTTGTCCTCCTCGTGAGCACGTGCGGCCACAATGCCCACCACGTTGCCGTCCAGCACAGCCACCCAGAAGCAGGAGCCTGTGGAGACAGGACAGTCAGGGCGACACAGAAGGCAGGCCAAGGAGCCTCCCCTGGAACAACAGGGTAGGCCTCAGTCAAGTAGCTCCTGACCAGGACCAAATAGAAGAATGGCCACAGGTGACCATGGCAGGCCCCAGGCACAGCCAACCTGCCCTGCTTCCAGCCCGGCCTGCCACACTCCTCCCTGCCTGTCCTGGCAATTCAGGGCACCCACTGGAGGATGCCTCATCATGCCAGGGGGCACCAGGGACAGCTTTGGGCACCCAGGGCCTCATGGATCCAGCCTCTCCTCTCAGGGCATCTGTGCCCATCCACAGGCAACCCAGGACAGCTAAGACCCGTAGAGGATCAGGAGGAGACTGGAAGGGGACAGGGTTCCAGAAAACCCTGGCAATCTCTGATGGCCAAAGGTGAAAGATACACAGAGGTGTCTCGGGGCTGAGAGGCAGCAGAGCGCAGGGCTGACCAGCCAAGGGTGCCCACTCTTCAACCTGGCCATCTCTTCCTGCTCCTCATGGCCCTATCCAGCCTCCCTCAAGAGCCCAAGTCCTCCCCAAAGGGTCTGTGCTGCACGTGGAAAGCATTCCCCTCCAGCACCATGACAGAGATGCCATCTCCTCCAGCCCAGACCCAAGCCTCATACAAAAGAGGGTCACCAAGGGCAGGGCATCCATCAGCAGCAGAGGCAGCCGCAGGGTCCCCAAAGCCTCGGGGTGTCTCCCTGCGATGGTCCCTTCCGCCCAGCCAGTCTCTCATCCAGCCACCCGGGCCAAACCACGGCTCAGGTTATCACAGCATGGAGTAGCCTGAACATACCTTGCTTCTCCCTCCCCAGTCCTCAGTTTCCTCATTTCTGGGAGCAATTCTCACAAATCCAAACAGCCTCTTGGCAGCAGTCTAACCTGTGCCTAGAGATTTGTGGATCCAGGAAGAGCGCACAAGGAGCCCAGGACACAAGCCCCAAGAGGCCTAGCCTCTCAGCTGCGCCGCACCCCACCACTGCTCCTGTGTGGCCTGTCCCTTCCCCTGCAGAGCCAGATTTGGGGAAAGCTAGGGGATAAAGAAGCCCCAAGGGCATGGGCGAAGGCAGAACAGGTAGCACCAGCAGGTAGGTCTGAAGCACGGAGCCAGTGCCAGCAACACTACCCCTCCACAGCCAGGCAGTCCAGCACCTGACAGACACTCATACTCCAAAAGCTAAGGCACCTCTCTCCAGCTTGAGGGCCTCAGGGCCAACCGTGGGACAGAGGACCACATTCCCAGTCTCTCACTCTACAAGGCCACAGAGCTGAGACACCCTCCAGGTCACTGAGTGGCCTGGAGACCAGACTGGGAGTAGAAGCCGAGAGTAAGACCAGGACTGCTGCCCCAGTGCTCTGCTCCTGGAGTGTTCTCTCCCTTCTCCCTATGGGCCCCAAATTCAACAAGACAGGACAGCCAGGACCAGCTCAGGCCACCCAGGGGAGGACACTGAGCTCCCTCCCCCACCCAGGGATGCCCCACCACTGGCCACAGTCCTTACTCAGAAGCTCAGGTCTCAGGACCCCAGCCTGTGCCCACCAGAGCCTAGGCCTGGCAGGGCAGGAAGTTGCTCTGCCCAACCAAGAAAGGACAGAGAGCAGGAGAAGCTACAGCCCCTGCTCACCGGGCGGCTTCATGTAGTACTGCTCGATGTCGGCCATGTCCGTGTGCAACGCGCAGTCCAGGTACGCCAGGATCACTTTGCGGCTGTAGTAGTAACGCAGGGCCAGCAGCACCACAGGCACCAGGCAAGTCAACAGCAGCGAGCGCGTCACGACAAAGCACAGCCCTGCAGGCGAAAGGCACAGGTGAGTGAGAAGGGGCAGCACCGCTGGCCTGGAAGCGGGCCGCAAGGCAGACCCCCGTCCCACAACACCCAGAGCCACCTTGCAGGAGCAGCGCTTAGGGCATGCGCAGCAGACTTTTTTCTCTGAGCACGAGCAGAGTCATGGTCTGTGTCCCTTTTCTATGTGTCCCTATTTTGAAACTTCCTGCCACAAGACACGCTACCTTCCTAACCTGAAAAAAAGTGGGAACACCGTGGGAGAGGCTGCCCTGAATTGCTACTCCCTAGGCTTTCAGGGCCCGCTACCAGGGTGGTTCTCAGCCCCTCCCCACGAAGCCTGACTTTGTGCACCCCTGTGGAGCAGGACAGAGCCCCCAAAGCGGCTGACGTGAGGAGGGGCTCCGGGATGGGACGGAAGATCCACACCGCCGCCAGCCCCACTCTGCAGAGACAGAGTGAAGGTCGCCTCCCCAGTGACCTTGGGAGGGTGGCCCCCGGCTTCCCGTTTGTGCAACAGAAGACGGCCGTGCCCCAGGGGGCCTGAGAACAGGCTCCGGCCGCTGTTTCCTCGCCACCCTTTCTGCAGTTCTCAGCTTCCCCACCCTCGGGTTATATATAGGCTCCACGCCCCGCGCCCCGCCACCTGCCCAGTCACGCCGCCCCCACCGGGGTGCCCGGGCGGGGACCGCGACGCGACTGGCAGGACGGAGGGGGCAACTGGTGAACACGGCGGCCACAGCCCCTACCCATGTCCGTCCCTAGCGGGCGACCCCAGCAGAAGCCCCCTCGGCGCGCGGCCCGCAGAGGCGGGGGAAGGGGAGGCGCTCGCGGGCCCCGCCCCCGCCCGGACTGCGGCAGCGGGTCCCGCGCACTGACCGGCCAGCAGGGCGTAGAGCAGCTGTGTGCGCGGGTGCTGCCGCAGGCCGCGGAACGCCGTGTTGGGGATGCGCTCCAGGATGCCGTCGTAGAAGATGCGGCGCGCCGCCTCCTGCTCCGCAGCGCGGAACTCGCGGATGCACACGCCGCGCCCCCCCGGCGGCCCCGCGCCCCC